TGCACAAAAGTGCAAAAACCAAGGACTTCGTGCTTCGCGCGCAAAAAGAGTGATGAGCCGAAGTGAGTGTGAAACTAAAGATCATTTTCAATTTAGTCTTATTTGGAAACACATTAGACATCAAATTCCATAATTGGTGTTACAAGGGATTTGAAAGGGGCCATCACACGTCAATATCTCAATTGATTTTAGCAAGGAAGTGACATAATGAAACGTCGCCCTGTTCATTGATTCTGACAGATTTTAGAAGGGATTTTGATTGGAACCCAAATGCTAGCTCTTAAGCAAAATCATTTGGACACAAATTGGTTTTCAGTTATTTATTTGATTGTAACTCCGTATTTCAATACGAGTCTCGAGTCCCTAATCGAAACCCCATTAAAACAAAAGGCGCTATTTTAATTTCTTTTTAAACAGGCTGCATGGTATTTGGAAGCAAGCTAAACTAATTATAAATCAAGTTATTGATGTTGGAACGGACTGAAAAATGATTTCTATGGGAACCAATGACAAATACATATTGCAATGGAATTTAGGGAACTATGTAACAATGGCAATAATTCAACTGGTTTAAGTACAACATTTCACCGCGATATCCTACTTTATGTTGGAACTACTTTACCTTTTTTAAATTGGAAACACACAGAACACTAAACACCTCTAGTTTAATTGATATTGAGAAGGGAGAAGGCTTCTTAAGGGATTTTGATCCGACACCAACTAAGCATCATTATTGTATTCAAACCAATACTTTATATAATTTATATATAATGGAGTTAAGGACATGACTTCAAAGAAACTTCAATTGTTCGTGTTTTTTGCTTTACCAATGTTTTTTTTGCAAGGAAACACACAATTTCAATTGAGCCCCCACCACTCCAATGGAAATGCTTCAGATGTAGATTTGTGGCTTTTATTGAATCACTGAAAAACTCATGCCCCATAAGTTATGGGCCATAACCCTTTTTCCACAAAGGAAATGTGAGAAAAACTGCGAGAAAACCTTTATTATGTAACAATGAAATTTTGTAGTTAGGTTCTGTGTTTGTCTGTGTGTGGTGTGTGAGTGTAAACCGCTGTTACACGTGGAATGCTTGATAGTCTGACCAACAGCCAGCAGGGGGCACGGAGACTGATTTCCTATCCGTGCCAACGAAGCTACGGAAATCCGTTGGAAGAGAGTTGGGACGCCAACTCTTGTACCTGCACTTCGACCTGGTTGTGTGATGTTGAGTAATCACCTTCTCCTCTAGATGACCAGGCTGTTTCAGGTGACTTTGGGGTCGGCAGACTTTGCACGTTACGTCGATCGCTTTTCGTGTCCTCGAGCTTTGGAACTGTGAGGCTTTCACGGTTTGAGCATGTTGTGGCTTGAGGATGATCAGACCGTTCTTTTGTTGATAATCCCATTGTTCAGGCTGTTGCAGACTCATCAGGTTCATGACGTACTTGTGGAGACGGTGTCGCGTGCAGACGTTTACCGCAAAGGATGTGCACCTAGGAGGTTCTGAGCTTTGACATCGCTTGACAGCTCCACCCAATAACTCTTCTCAGTGTGTGGGGCACCATATGTATACTTTGTTGGCAACTGTTGCTGCTACCGCGTAGTCATTATTCACCAAAGATAGTTGAGATCCGACCGTGAGGCAGATGAAGTTGCTGATGAGAGTCTTGAGGCAGAGGCTGGACGTACATGCTTGCGCAGAATGAAGCCCTGCAAGATTGTTTGGTCATTTTTGTGGCCCTGAGGCTTTAGACATCAAACACATCGACCGAAGTGGACAAGTTGCAGTGCTGGGTGTCCCCAATTCTGGAAAGTCATCCCTCGTCAACGAGCTTGTTGGAACAAAGGCTCCCGAATCGATTGCAGTCAGTATTAGACTTGACTTTGTACTTTGAAAAAACTAGTCCTGGGATCATACTCACCACTCGAAAAGTGAGCAGTGCTGTTGCCAAAATAGTCTTTTACAAGTTGGTCATGCCTTTCCACATGCAATGTTTGCACCAGAGCAGTACTGTAAGCCGGCTGTTATGTTTCACAAAACCCATGCTGACTCTTTTAAACAATCTTGAGCTGGCATAGAGTAAGCAAGTAGGAGGCACGCTCACACTTTGACCATAGTGTCACTGGAGGTGTCAATCGTGTCCGCAAAGCCACAAACGACGAGACAAAGGATTCTGGGTATTCCACTTAGTACAGCGCCAGCTGTTCAGCTTTCCAGCTTCCTGGACAAGAGTGATATGCGAAAGGTTTGGCCTTGCTGGCCCCAAGACCTGGAATGCCACTGACTACGCAAGCCCAAGACCTAAAGAAGGAATTCAATCTTCAACAAAGTTCAAGCTGTTATATAAGATGTCATATATTACACATAGATCACTGAGTCTTGGGCTTTGACCAACCTAGAGCTGTCTAGAGGCGATATTTGCAGATACTGCTGGCATCATGGACATCGGACAGAATGTCTCCGAGTTCGGTTTCAGGAGCGCTTGTCAGTCTGTATTGTGGATTCTTTGTCTTCGTCAGTCTATGTTTTCTTTGTGTCTCGGACGTTTCAAGGCACAAGCGAAAGCGATTGTTCCGACAAAACCGCTTGCACAAGGCTGAATCCCTGGACTTGCATGTCAGTGTAATGTGGGTAGTTGGGCATGTGTGTATTTGATGATATATGAGCGACCAACAAAATTATTGCTGACGTATTTAGTAATAGGAGGGTGCTGGAAGTCATGTGCTGATTCATATGGAAAATGATACAGTACAATCTAATATTGAAGTCGTGGCGCTTTTCTATTTTTGAAGCGTCTTTACTGGAATTTGAATGTATGGAAGTCGTGGCGATGTCGTGTTTGGTTGGGGAGAAGCCTGACATTTGTCGTTTGAAGTTCTTTTTTCCTGCAGCTGTGGTGGAGGTGGAAGGGGATGTCAATTACACGCATAGACCGCAGATAGCAACTAAGTCTAAAGACAAAAGCATCTGAGATAAAACCCAATAAGTAGCCAGGAGAGAAGGCAGCAGTGGCAGACAAAACGCCGATTGTGAAAGAAAGAAAGGAAGGAAGAAAGAAAGCAAGGAAGGAAGGAAGGAAAGAAAGAACGCACAAGAGAAAGATAAAGCAAGCAGGCAAGTAAGCAAGCAAGCAAACAAAGAAAGAAGGAACAAATAGTCCCGAGTACCTATTAAAAAACGGACCCCAATTAAAAAAAGTCATGTCGGACCCCCCCTAAATACGGTTTATATTTGTATTTAATTTACCGCCCTTTCAAGCCGCTACTAAACTAACAACATGGCCGACTTGGGAGGGGTTTTTCTTATTAGGTTCCAAAAACAACCGTAACTGCCCACCTCTGTCCGCCCTGTCTATCCACCATGACACGCCGCGCTTATACCAGCAGGCTTTCCTTCCCCCAATGGCACGGACTCACGCAAACGCACTTGCCACCGAGGTCATGCAACACCGCATGGCACAGCGACATCACCTTTCGAAAGCTTTAGCTGTTAGTCTACTGAAGAATCACTATTCTAATGAAGGTTCTTGTAGGGGAAAAGGGAGACCCTTCGATCTGGAGGTTTTTTGCATTTTTGGTACGAGCTTAATAAAGGATTTTATATAGAATGTTTCTGGATTACTTTTTGGCTTTGAAACTTTTTCCAGGTGACCCTATTTTGGACCACCCCGATTTCAGGGACCCCGTATTTAAAAAGACGACCGAGGCTTCCTTATTAGGGGGGGGCGGGCGCATTTTTTAATAGGTAGACCGGATTAAACAAATAAAGACAGAAAGAAAGAACACCAGACAGCAAAAAAACAAGCAAGCAAGCAAGCGAGCAAGCAAGGAAGGAAGGAAGGACAACAAACTAATGTGCTGGCTACGGTGGTGGTGGAAGGGGATGCGCGCACATACATGATGAGGTAAATAAAGGCGTTTTCATTCTGAGGGTTTTCCTTGCTGGCAAGGGTTCTGACCTGGTTCACCATTTCGTTCACCCCATTCCGATACCTCTTTAAACCTTGTGTGAGTTAAGTACAGTGTCCAGGGCCTGGTCCAAAGAGATGTCAAGGGACCACAAAGAGCGTAACACCGCTGCCAAACCATTGCGTTTCCACGCAGGAAGCTTGTTCTGAACACATGACAATTGTGTGAGTGAAGGAATTTCAGAGCACATCAAAAGCATTACCAAATCATTGCGTTTCCATGCGGCAGTCTTTCCATTGGGGAACACAAAATTTTTCCTACTATGCCGTGACTTCAGCGGCTGAGTCATGGTCCTCACCCAAAAGCGGGAGTCATGTCAAATGACGTTTGGCTACATAAGAGATGCAAATGTGACTTATGCATATTATCGAACTGCGTTTGTTGAGGCTATGGTCAAGACAGCATGGAAGCAGACCAAGGCTCCCAGATTCGTGTCTTTCACCTGACTTTTGACTTTCTGACCTAGCGAGTAACTTTCGCATTTAGTTTCCAGGCTTCTGATGCAGTTTTCTGGGTCCTGGATGCCTCCAAATGCTTTCTCTATGGTGACTACATGCCACCAAGTGTCAAAGCTGATTAATGTTTCTTGAACACGATGCCTCGGCAGATAGTCCTTTCGAACTGGAAGGGACAAAACACAACACAAACAATTAGGTCCTGAGCTCGACGGAGTCTCCATCGGGGCTGTTGTGGAAGATTCATGGTTTGGCCCTTATTCATGAGAGAGCTGATGCATCACTGCCTTGCGTTTCATGCTAAGTTGCTCTTTGTGTTTTAAAGGTGGTTGCACCCAGAACTGGCAGAAGAACTCGCCTTCTTGAGAAAGCTCAAGCGATCAAACATGAAGGCCCGCAGAAAAGAGAGGTGAAAGACTAGTGACTAGTGCGAGAAGCTCGCTCAAACGTTTTAGAAGCTTGGGAAATCGCTTGAGGTCAGTGTTGTCCTGAACAAGGTTGACCTTCTGCGAGACATGGCGGTTGACGTCGAAGACTTCACCCTCAAGATGAGGGACTGACCGTCGCAGAGCTGTGCATGCCAACCCGTAGGGACAGCATGGCACAGTCCTCCCTAAACTCAGCATCTTGCACATCGAATACCAACGCGTGCATCCTATCCACTCATGCAGCTTGCTCTTGGGCCATTCTTCATGGCCATTCATTTGTTTTGTAGCTCGGAAGTTTCCCTGGAGGCTACACTTCCCATTTTTCTATTTTTTTGAACTATTTTCCATGAAACATGTTACGTTAATATTTTGCCTTCTCCCAGGAGCAGCTTTCCAGTGACTTGGGAAGAACCCAGGATGGTGAGGACTGGCTGATGTACTGGAACAAGACTGTTAGTCGTTTGCCCATTATGCCTGCATGATTGACAATTGATTTGAGGTTTAATGCCTTCTTACGTTCAACACATTTGTGTTTGGTGGGCATTTGGGGAACGTGGAAATTCACTTCCTAGGGTAAGTGCAGTGAATACCTCAAATGGACTCGAAGACCCGGATGATGATGACCTTCTTCCTGGATTGAAACTTATGTCTAGAGTCGAGAGCTTGGCGCGATGGTTTCCATATCTTCAGACATTGCCAGGAAATTCTGGACAATATTTGGCCCACGTCAGTTCTGAAAGATCCAGTATCATTGGCCCCAATAAAAAGGCCAGTTTGTAAAACGCCTGGATTAAGTGGATTCATTCATGCCCATGAAGAGGTGGCTTTGCGAGAATCTTCCAAAGCAGAGGCGAGACTCTTCCAAAGCAGATGCCGATCGTTTTTGCTTTAGCTTTTCCTTTTGCTGAAGTTCGCTGTTGCTTAGTTCCTGGCCGAAATATTTGTTTTGCCAGTCCGATTTACCCTTTGGAGAACATCAGCGATGTTCCTGCGCGTGTTGTGGCATCTGAGATCACACGGGAGAAGCTGCGAATCTGCCATGTCATTCCGGTTCAAATGTTGCACACTGCTGGTGGATGTATTGACAGTCAAAATTGGCAAGGTTTGGAGTATTGAGAGAAGAAGTTCCCTATCATTTGACAGCACGAGCCTGAGAATCTCCAAGCCTTGAGAACCTCGAGCGTCACGGACCTTCATTTCAATGCTTCCAGAGCTTCTATGAGCTTCTTAGGTTGTAAATGCTGTTTGGCGGCAAGAGCCGGATGGCAAACTTTTGCTAGGCCAAAAGGTGTGCGCCTAAGAATGCCTAAAGGGATGCCAATTTTGAAAGGTTTGCAGGGCATTGCAGGGCATGGGGATTTCTGCAAGGGCAATCAAGTATGCCCAGGGTCCGCAGGGCAATGCGTCGTTCATCTTCACAAACTCTGCTGAAATTCCTTTGTGGTAAAATGTGGCAGGTGGTTGTGGCCACTGAGGGGCAAAGCCGGATTGTTCGAGCCTGGATCCACCCTTGGCGGTTTTTGCATGCATGCGATGGTGCAGATGAACAAGCGAACAGACTTTAAGACACAATATTATGTTAAAGTCGCCAAATTGGCGTGAGGTTGAGGCAGATAACGGAGGATGCAGAAAGGGAGATCTCAGGGACTCTGAATTTTGGGAGGCTCGCATTTTGGCACGAGACACGAGTCAATAAAGGGAAGGACTCGAAGGACTTGACCATCTTCATGTTTGCAATGCTTTGCTATGTTGTTGCCGCCTGTGAAATCGCTTTCGTTGGTTTGGCTTGTTCTGCTCCTGACTTCACACTGCTCTGTGGTCGTGCTAGCCTGTGGAGAGCCGGCGCTGAAGCTTGTTGATCAAGTGATTTTATACCGATTACAGATCAAGTAGTCACTGAAGGTTTCCACGATAACACTGGGTGGCAGGTCTGTTGAGCTTCATTTCCAGGTTCAAGCTCCTTGGATCCAAGAGAAGTCTATAAAGCAGCTAGAGTTGCGCAGTGTTACACGCATGTTTGCACGAAAACTATCAAGCTTGATGAATTCCATTGGTGGGAGAAAGCTGCCTAAGGTGGATCCAAAGTGGGCAGAGAATGAGGAGTACTATGAGGATGTACAGGGGCTGCTTGATCGCAGCGGCTCACTGGCTTTTCCCTAAGGAAAACCTGGTTGTTCTCCTCCACTGGGGCAAAGCAGCTACTGGCCCTCTCGACACGCGGGCTTGCAGCATCACCCACGAGTTTGTTCTGTTCTATGCAAAAGGTGCGGCTGATTGCAGTATTGCAAACCAGAGGGTGGGCGTGTCCAAATGAGGATTTGAGTGGACGTGGTGTAGGACACGTGCATAACCGATCGGGGCCATCGCATCTACATACTGATGCCCTTTACCTCATTTACAACACCTGCATAACCGATGGGGGGCGCCGGCGCCCCATTCTGGGCTATGTCCTTAGGCATCCTTAGGCTAGCTACAGGATTTCGTCCTGCACTCATATATAATGACATCAATGTACTTGCTCCAAAATTGTCAGAAGTGACATGAAATCTTTATCTAGGGTGTGACCTTGATGAACCTCTGCAGCATAGCAAACCATTGGACACCTTGTATGCAGATAACATACAGTACTTGTATCATTCCAAAAATAGAAGGTTGCCCAACAAGGCATTTCAATAACAGATCGCTGGTTTCAACTTCAACAAGTTTCAACATGTTTCAACGTCAGTCCGTTGCTTGGCAGTATCAATAGACCAGAGAGGTTGGACCAAAAGCTAGCAGACGGTCTCAGCTCAGACCAGCTACAAGCCTAAGACCTCAAACCTTCTGTTTGGAGTTATGTCATGGATGAAACCGAGGAGTGTCGGGTAGTGAGTAAAGACTGCTGCTTCTGACTCTGATATTGTGTTTCTCTGGTTACAAAGAGATTGGCTCAAATCTGCATGTTTTTTTTGCAACTAATTCGGCCATGAGATAGTGCCTCTGGCCTTTGAGCGCTCACCATGGCGTTGGAGTCAGTCTTGGGTCAGGCACTCTCCCGCAACAAGGCACGCCTGGTAGCACACCTTGTTGCGCCTTGGGATGCTCTTCTTGTGTCATGGGAGGCGCATGAGAAGGTGGACTTGTGGAAAGAGCGAGAAATTCAGGCCAGCGGCCATGTGGAACAGACTGAACGATGGCCGCGCTCGGTCGAATGCAAAGCTGGAGTGAAACGGAAGAACAACAAGAATGCACTCAATATACTGTAATTATTAGTTAGATCAATTTAGATCTACTTAGTATACTGTGTAATCAAACTGCAGTCACTTGCATTCTCTTGCAATTGGACACTAGGCCCTAGAGCGCTGACGCTTCAATAGCTCAGGACAGAGGCAGCCGCTGCACCATTTCGCTGAAGAGCAGAAAAGGTGATGTCGCTTGCAGCCCAGAAGTCTGGGCGCAAACGTGTTGAATGTCAAATTAGAAGTTCTTAAAGAAGGTAGAATTGAAATAAGACTGTTACTTGTTCTTCCAATTGTTACTGTGCATATTTGTGTCATTTGTGTTTGTTTGTGCAGCCTTGGCTTTTGAGGTGCGGCAAGTCACCAAAGTCCCCGAAGGAGCAGAGGCTGACATTTATAAAAAGAAGGGGGGGGTGTTTGGCAAGTGTCCTTTCACTTGGACGTTTGCCGCTTCAGGTAACAAGCAATATTGTCAACCAATTCGAAATCGTCCACGGCTTGGAGCATGAACGCATGCAACATTTACACACTAGACTATAGGTATAGTGAATGGTTGTAACTTCGACCCAAGTTTGACTGCTTGAAGTGTCAAGTGGAAACAGCATTTTGTCGCGCAAGCCATGAAATGCTCAAGGGCCCCTGTGATTACACAGGCAGGATCGCACGTGGCAGCGTCGTGATGCGAATGCGTGCCTTCGTGGCACGAGTTCACCCTACGGTTGTAGAGGGTTCCTTTGCAACTCATGCTTCATGTCATCCACCCACTTCCTCACTTTCATCTATCAACCTCTCGTTTTCTTGTACTTTCCATCTCATTTTCATCATTTTCCCTCTCAGAGCCCTTCAATTTCCCTTTCTGAGCTTCACAAGGGTCGCTTACCCCTTTTTTCAAAAGCGTCAGTCAGGGTCTCAATTGTCCTGGCGCTATAGCTCCGTGTGGTTGGTGCCCGTAGTCCAAGCTGTTCTCCTTGCTGCAGCTGCAGCTAGCACTTGCCAGCCGCAGCCGCTCAGCTGCAGTTTTCTTCCTTGCCGCTTGGCAAGGCATGTCGGATCGCAGGTAACTTTATGTGTTAACAATATGTTTGCAAGCCGCTGGCGCCCGAGAGCTGGAGAGCTTGCCATGGAAACTGGGCGGCCGCAGCTAACCAAAGATTGTAACGCTTTCTGTTTGGCAACCGTGGCTTCTATTTTCGTCTTGCGAGCTTGGTGTCTCGTCAGGCTTCGTGCAAGAGCTTGGCGTCCGCTACAAAATTCATGTCCAGGGACCAGGGATGGTTGTTTCAGGAAGAGGTGGCACGGTGGCTCCAAAGAAACCGAAACGAAGTGAGTTCTCTTTTTGACTGACGCAGACTTGTTTAGGCCGCGTCCTCACATGTCGTCAACGTGAAGTCCCGCAATCGTGATGAGGTTCCTTGATGGCTCTTGCGGCGAAGGTTTGCAGAGAATCTCCGCCCAAACCTTCTGCAAGGCCAAGTCTCCACGCTGTGTTCAAACGCGGGCCTCCTAGGCAGCAGCAGATGTTTGTTAAGCGCAGCATCATGTCTTCGACCTTGTGGGCTCCTGGTTGTGGGCATAGACAAGGAGTTTTGCGCGCGACGCGACGTTGGCCTTAGGCCTTCCCATGCGCCGTCGTTCGGCAAGGCGCTTGAATCGGCAGAAAGGTTTCCACGCCGCCCAGGCAATGAAGACATGGTGTCACTGTAGCTGGCCCCCCGCCTTCCCGGGGCCCCGCCGCCAATAATATAGTGGTTGAAGTTGTCAACTCAGGCTTGTTCCCGCTCGAAGTGTCAAGCGGAAACACGAAAAGGTGAAGGGCGCAACTACAGCACTTTGTCACGCAAACCGTGACATGTTTGAAGGGTTCCTGTGATTACACGGAGCAGAATTGCGGAGCAGAATTGCAAGTGGCAGCGTCGAACGGCGCTTAGTTTGCCAAAGGCCAAAGGTTCAACCGACATGCCAAAAGGAAAAGGGCAATTGTGGCGCGAATGTTATGAGTTTAAGTATACTTTTCTTTGGTGTCTGAACTCTTTTGCGTTTGCGCAAGCAATCAAGGCTGGAAGTGACTAGACTAAGGAACGGGAGGCAAATGCTGCAAAGAAAGAGGACCCGGCAAGACTTCCCCTAGGCCCACAAATAAGCCCTTTGCAGTTTTGCAGGATGTGCTCTTGGAGAGACTTGCCAATGGGAAGGACAGCAGTCTTGCCCAAATTCTATAGTCAAAGTTAGAGTTATTGAATTGTGCCTCCTCGGTAAAGGGCGGGGCGGAAAATACGAAAAGCGCTCCAAACATAGATGCGCTCACTCGAACATGTCCCGCAGCGAGAGTTCACATGGCTGGAATTTGAGTTCGAACTTCGAACTCACATTTTTTTGAAAAAGACTGGTGGACCTCACGGCCGCAAACGCGTTTCAAGATATTGCTAAGCAAACCGCGAGCAGTGACCGATACTTGTGAGTCTATGTCGGCTTTTGATACCAAAAGACTATACTGCAAATTTTTGCTAAGCCAAAGGGTTGCTTAAATTTATGTTGTTTTCCAAAACCAGTTTGTAAATGAGGGTTAACCTAAACCTCCGTGTAAGGAGTTTTATGTTTAAAACAGCCTTTCAGACGTTGTTAAGGCCATCTGCAAAAGATTCGCGATGAGGTTCGCGAAAGTAGTTTTTTCATTCCCGACCGGCGTTAGCCTATATGCGCGGGGGTCACGCTGCAAGATGTCAGCGCCTATTTTGTGATACAAACATATATAGCCACCTGATCAACCACCGTGCGCTTTGCTTGCTGCGGCGCATCTCATCCTGCGGTTTATCCCATCTGTTTTTTGCCTTTTACTCTACAGCAGTATGCAAAGGCCCGGATCAACTTTGCAGCGAAGGGGATTATGTCCTTTTGCCAGCCTCGGACATTACGAGGTTGTTCTTGTGGAGATATCTGAGCCGACAGTTCGGTCGATCCTCAGAGTGCTTGTGAACTCCCGCAATGCTCTTGGACTTTCAACCAGGATTCTGTCAACCTGTGTCAGGGACGGCGTTGGCAATTCATTAGCTGAGAACTCAGTGCCGCGAATCAGGGGGTTGACGCGTTCGCGCGCGCGCGCGTGGGACCGCTTATGGGCTTGCGCGCGGGAAGCAGTATGATCCCCAGTGGAAGATGACTATGTTTTTTGGGAAGACAGACGCCCAAGATGCCTGGATAGTGACTGGCGGCGAAAAGATCCTTTTGACGAGAAGTGAGAAGGGTGGGCCGGCCATGGAGCAGGTTCCTTCCATACTATGGATTTTCAGCTTCGTCGTGGGAATTTCAGACAAACTTTGGTGGAGGAGCACCCCCCACAAAGAGGGCGCAAGAGGGCACTTGACTTGAGAATGAGGACGCTAAAGAAACGGATACGCAAGGGCCTCGACGTTCCAGATGAGCTTTGGAGTCAAGAACGGGACAACTCCGGCAGTAGACCTTTTGGCCAACAAGGTTCAGGAGATGAGCCTGAAGGGAATGAAAGTGTTGAGAGGTCTGCTAGAAGAGGAGCACTACCTTGAGATTGTGAGGATCAAAGCAAGGAAGGAGGAGATGTTTCTTTTTCGGTCCCTAGTTGGGCGTGCATTTGTCAAAAGAGCGTGTTGGCTTCAGCTTCACCGGCTTCACCATCAAAGAGTTGTCGATGCCTGCGGCTTTGAGCGTGAGTCGAAGAAGCTCATCGGCTATTTGAAGACAACAGTGGGCCATCGTGTGAAGCTACCATTTCCAACCAGAGGTAGAGTGATTTTGCACGCTGTCAACGCAGAAGTCGTTGTTGAAGACATTCACAGACGCTGACCAGAGTGGAACAAAGCCACAAAGCCCATCCACGTTCAACATCGTGATCGGTTCACGCAGTGAGCGGAGCTGTGGTGTTTGCCACGTCTTGAGGACAGAAAGTGGTCAGCCTGAGCAGCGCAGAAAATGAACTCCATGCTTCAGTTGGAGGAGCCTGCGACGGAGTTTTTCATCAGACAATGTCCCAAGTTCGTGACAGCAAAAAAAGGTTCAGCGCCTGTGTCTTCTTGACAATTGCCAAATCACGCGCAAGAGAGGCAGTGGCAAGTTGAAGCACATTAGCGGAAAGCTTCTGCGGTGCCAGGAGTTAGCGGACTTGCGCGCTGTCAACGCAGACGTGGTTGTTGGAGACATTCACAGACGCTGACTGGAGGGGACACATAGCCAATCGACGTCCAATGTCGTGATCGGTTCAGGCAGTGAACGGAGCTGTGGTGTTTTTGGAACGTCTAGAGGACACAAAGCGGTCAACCTAAGCAGTGCAGAAAGTGAACTCCATGCTTTAGTTGGAGGAGTCTGTGGCGGATTTTTCACCAGACAATGTCTCAAGTTCTTGACAGGAGAGGAGGTTCAGCGCGTGTGTCTTCTTGACAAGTGCCAAATCACGCGCAAGAGAGGCAGTGGCAAATTGAGGCACATTAGCGGAAAGCTTCTGCGGCGCCAGGAGATAGCAGTTGATTGAATACAACAGCGGGCCAACGTGTGAAGCTACCATTTCCATCCAGAGGTATAGAGTGATCAGCGGATTTGCGCACTGTCGACGCAGACGTGGTTGTTGGAGACATTCACAGATGCTGACTGGACGTTCATTGGTTCACTCAGTGAACGGACTTGTGGAGTTTGCAACGCTTCTGTGGCGCCAGGAGATAGTAAGTAGACATTTGAAGACAACAGCGGGCCAACGTGTGAAGCTACCGTTCACAACCAGAGGTAACAGGTAGAGTGATTTGCGCGCTGTCAACGCAGAAGTGGTTGTTGGAGACGTTCACACATGCTGACCGGAGTGGACACAAAGCCCATCGTTACATCGCCCTCGGTTCACGCAGTGAACGGAGTTGCGGTGATCGCAGCGTCGCAGAGGACACAGAGTGGTCAGCCTAAGCAGTGCAGAAAGTGAACACCGCGCAGAAGTCGGAGGGGCCAGTGATGGAGCTTTCGCCAGACAATGTCTCAAGCTCTTGACAGCAAAGGAGGTTCAGCGCGTGTGTCTTCTTGACAAGTGCCAAATCACGCGCAAGAGAGGCAGTGGCAAGTGAGGCGTGTTAGTGGAAAGCTTCTGTGGCGCCAGGAGAGTAGACGTTTGAAGACAACAGCAGGCCAACGTGTGAAGTTACCGTTTCCAACCAGAGGTATAGTGATTAGCGGATTTGCGCGCCGTCAACGTAGACGTGGTTGTTGGAGACATTCAGCGCAGACGCTGACTGGAGTGGACAAAGCCCATTGACGTTCAAAGTCGTCCTTGGTTCACGCAGTGAACGGAGTTCTGGTGCTTGCAGCGCTTCTGTGGTTCCAGGAGATAGTAGATATTTGAAGACAACAGCCGGCCAACGTGTGAAGCTACCGTTTCCAACCAGAGGCGGGCGGCTTGCCAGCTGCCAACGCAGAAGTGCTTGTTGGACATTCACAGATGCTGACTGGGGTGGACGCAAAACCCATCGACAGTCAACGACGTCCTTGCTTCACGTTGTGGTGTTTGCAATGTTTAGAGGACAGAAAACGGTCAGCCCAAGCAGCGCAGAATTGGAGGAGCTTGTGACGGAGTTTTCATCAGACGATGTCTCAAGTTCTGACAGGAGAGGGGTTCAGCGCGTGTGTCTTCTTGACAATTGCCAAATCATGCGCAAGAGAGGCAGTGGCAAGTTGAGGCACAGTGGCGGAAAGCTTCTGTGGCGCCAGGAGATGGTAGATGGAAGTGAAACAAATTGGAGCCCGCCAATTCACGCAGAGGGCAACAGAGTCGGCGAGCAGGAGACGCAAGAGGTTGATAAGAAGGAGATGAACAGAGCGAAGGGTCAGAGATTGGCAAAATGCACTTGAGAAGCTCCTGTGTGTTTGGAGGAGAATGTTTCCGTGGCATGGTTCTGGGTAGAGTGCGCGACGCAGAACTTCATTTGAGTTTTCCGAGAGAGGTTGGCAACAATGGGGTTGAGGGCTGACTTGAGAGTTCACGTTGAGGATCAAACAAGATGGGGCTCAATGATGCATTGCTACGCGCAAAGGGTACACAGGCACATAGTGAAGCAAAAACGGCTACGTTAGCCATTGGGAAGCACGGCGTATGGAATTCTTTGGGAGAGGAAGGAAGCAAGAAGTGGTCGCAAGAAAGAATTTCTTATAGAAGAATGGTCTATGAGGAGAACGTGAGAAGTTGAGATGTAGCACAGAGGACAGAGAACAGAGAAGCAGGGCGGACACCCCGCCAGCAACGTTGAGAGGGTGGCCACGCCGCAACAGTGTTACTCGACGATGGAAGAGAGGTGGACAACGTTCCACTGGAGCACCTGTCCGGAGATGGTTCCAGGATTTGTGGACGAAGGAGGTTGCCAGACACAAGAAGTTGATGGAGGAGAAGAGACTACAGTTTTGGAGAAGAGACTACAGAGCAGGCGGACGCGACAGATGGCCCAATAGATGCGGTTGAGAGAATTGACGCGTTGCTCGCGCGAGCGTGTTTGCAGGCAAGAGAAGAGATGATGTTGAAGTGGGAAGATAGCATTGAATTTCAAAGCAGAGTTGGAGATTGAACCAAGCTGCGTGAGCTACACCGGAAGCCTCAAGGGCTGGTTGGTTTCAGTGTGGACGCAAAAGACTGTGCAGCGAGCTCACTCCCCAAAGGAGGAGTACGTAAGATTTCAAGATCACGTTTCACCTAAATTTGCGCAGGCCGGTTCAGGATCAAAAGAGAGTTCGCAATATCGCACCCTCCGCCCGACTCTATCTTCTATTGTATATCTTCTATTCTATTTTGTAATCCGCCGCTCAATCTACTGTACCTTCCGCCTCCGCCTTCTGCGTATGTGTGATTGTAGATATATATCCTGATACTCTTCAGCTCTTTTTTTTCATCCTGTCCTCCATCGCCCATGCGAGAAGGCACCGCATCACATCACTCATGTGCAATACAGTCCAAGCGCGCCGCTTCAGCGCAATCATTACAAGAGTTGACCATGTGCAGTTGCGGCCTGTATTTTGAGAAACAAGGCGAACGGTATTTACATTGCAGTTTGCAGCAGCAATGTAGAGCCTGTAAAAGCAGTATCGCCAGCTTGCAAGAGAGCACGGGGATGGGAGACAGTAGGGACGCCAATGTTGTGATCACCTCACCAGAATTCAGCGACGGCCTCCAACCTACTAGCGGCGCCATGCTTAGAATCACGCGGCCGCAGGCTGGGAAACAGTACCAACAATTTATATACAATGTTAAAAACACATAACTGGAAAACCTTCAGACCCCCAGCACATGAAGTGCGCGAGAACCCACTCTAGTTTGTTTGGCCGCGCTGTGCAGATTCTAGCACAGCGCTGGTATTGCTTTTTGACCACGATTCAGTGCATATAACTGTACTTTTGTTCACAGTGTCAATCAGAGGCAAACGGAAGGGTAGCGCACAGAAAGAGTTTTGCAAAAACCTATTCTACTAACATCGTGGAAGGCGCGGGACATTCGTGGAACCTGGGGCTATTCGTGGACGTTTCGTGGAATGGTGGGCCAGTAGGAAAACTGAATGCGACAAAATCCCAGAAACCTTCGTAGAACTTCGTAGAAGGTATTTTTGATGCACTAACTTCGTATAAGCGATTTTGGCTGACCCCCTTTCTCCACACACCCTCCGTTGAGCCTTGCTGTCAGTCCAGATTGTTGTGTAGTCTTTGTGGCCGCTTGATCCATTGAAATTGTTCCTTGGTTCCTGTTTTCTTTCTCCAAGCTCATTTTTGGAGGTTGTTGGGCACACAACATCAGACATGCTTTAAATCTAAATATATCCCAGTGTATTTCAATCGGGTTTTGTGCTGGCCGTTTCAACCAGGCACATCCCAATTTTTGTCCTCTGGTGTCCTTTAAACATGTTGCAGGATCCAGCGTGGCGGCCAGACTTTTTCCTCTCAGAGTTGAAAGGCCTCAAAAAGAAGGCAACGCAGTTTTCTATTCAAGAGGCTTTCAGCAACGCAAGAGCTGGCAGACACAGCCCTTTCAGCATGTCCTTCTTTGTCCCACTAGAATCGCAGGGAATTTTGCCCAAAATGCGCCCACAAGATTACCTGCGGATGGACGCTGCCTTTGTTCAAAAGGCCTCGGCGGCCTTGGTGTGTTTGCAAAAAACATGTGTCCCTTTGTGCATGCAATTGTTCCGATTTCTGACTTTGGATTTTGGCAAGGTGGTTGCGGCCTACAAGGCCAACAAGAAGGCAGAAAAGAAAAAACGCAAAAAGAAAAAGAAAAAGAAAGAGAAGAAAGAGAAGAAGGAAGGCAAGAAAAAGAAGGAAAAGAAGGAAGGCAAAGAGAAGAAGAGGAAAGAGAAGGATGCCGGCGGGCAGGGGCAACAAGTCAAGAAGGAGCACCATGAAGTTCAAAAGAGGAGAAGCAAAGTCGTGCTCGATGACGCTGGTCAGCCTACCTGCAAAGAAGAGCTTGAGATCGTGGAGGTACGGAGAACTAGCAACAAACAAACATGAAGATTGTGTTTGCAAAAGCACAAACGTTCCAGAATCACAAGGGTCGCCACAAGAGCGCGAGTTTGCGGTTCCAGCTGTGAGTTTGTGAGTTGAGCATGTCTGATCCAATTCAGGTCAGAAGCAAAGTCACGGTACGCACCAAAAAGCATGGAATGGGCGACGAGGCACACAAGGAAAGTGACGTAACGTGACGTACTACTGCATGGGTGCTGCAAGCCAACACATGGTTGAGAGTTGTTTAAGATTATCTAAGTATTCAGATCAATTTTGGACCTTCTGTTGAGGTTGCCATGGCAACAGCCAAGGCTGCCCATTTGGCTTCAAAGCTCCGAGAACAGGCACAGCTCACGATGTGAAATTGGGGCGTAGAGTCTTCCAAGAACTGGTTTGTGTGACCTTGCACCTATTTGTGAACACACCATTCAGATCCATTCAGTGTATTTTACAACAAATTCAATGTATTTTACAACAAATTGTTTATGCCCTTTCTTTTCTTTATGCGACTTCTATGTCACAGATGGGCACCATGAGTGCGATTTTATGCCTGACTTAAAGACACTCTTGAGACTCGATGCCACATTTGTACACCGCTGCACCACAGTTCCAGGTGAAACTCTGGATAACTCCGGCATGTCTGCATTTCAAATTGAAATAAGTTGACCAAAGAAACCATCATTACAATTCGTTCTTTCGATTGCCACAGGCCAGTGGACTCCACTTCTTTCATTTTTCCATTAGCATCCTTATGCATCCATTAGCCAATAGTCTTCACCACTCAAACCGGCTGCCACTCATGAGCTTGTGGTTGGGTCGAACCAACAAATTATGTTAGTCCGCGGCCGGACTCCCAAGGGTTCAAAGTCTGCGCCTCGGAATGCGTTCTGTGAGGTTGCGGCTGGTGGTCCAGGTTTTCAGGCATCACCCAGCGGAAGCACTGGCCGTTCCAGAAGCTCCGGCGCAAACCCGAGCATTTGTGGAGCTTATTGAGTTCTTATGAGTTCTTTGAGCTCCTGCTACTGTTTTTGCTGAATGGATGTGCCATAGAGTGCTGTAGTGGTACTCATGCTGAAAAAAAAAGCAAAAACAGCACTTGCATAACATATGTTTGTCAAAGTGTGAGACAACGTTGGGGCATTGAGGTGGTAGCTCAGCATCGAGTTCCGAAGCGGCAGTCGAGGCAAGACAAGTCTGTCAAGACGAGCCAATTGTTTTGGATCGTTTTGGAACATGAGAGAACTTTGCAGCATGCGGCAAACTTTGCCGCAACACACAAAATTGATACTGTATATATAATATGTATATATAATATATATAGGCTTGCAAGAGCATAATCAGTTGTGATTGTCCGGTGATGCTAGCACTTTACCATACTGAAGATTAGACCTTGACTTGCAGAACGGTGAGGCGAAAAGTCCGAGGAACAGACATCTTGAACACACTCGTTAGTACTTTACACAAAAGTAGTGTGAACAGCTTGTTCGACAGTTCAACACGCAGGTGAAACAAGCAGGTACGTTTGCGCAGGAAACGTGTAGCGTCTTCGTTGGCCGCTGACTGCACGAATCCCCAGCCCCCTGCGTAGAGACGCGCACACACACACACATAGAAATGCGTACTGACGTGAATGCGGTGCCACACGCCAGCCTAAGTTTAAACACCTGAGTAAACCAAGGCAAAAAAGTTGGAGGTCATCGCTCTAAGGTTGGAGGCCATCGAAAGCAGGCTGAGGGGCCATCGCTAGTAGGTTAGGTGCGCAAGCTGAAAGCGACACCCAGCAACAAGGTTGGAGGTCATCGCTAGTAGGTTGGAGGCCAGAGTACCAGGTTGGAGGCCAGCGCTACAAATCGACAAAAGCACCAGTAAAACAACAAGGTTAGGGGTCAGTTCTAGCGCGTTGGAGGCCATCACACCAGGTTTGAGGCCAGCGCTGGAGGTTGAGCAGGTACGCAGTGGACCTACTGGCACCCTCTTCGTTGGACGGGAAATGCCAGTGGTGTCCCGTCCCCGTGCTCAACAATCCTACAGGATCCCTGTGATTTGAAGGGGCACACACACACACACACGCCTCCCCGAGAAGGAGGCATCTCGTAAGGCCAGGAGCCCTAAGGTCCGACAGGAGGGAGGGGTAGGGAGAGAAGAGAAGAAAGAAAAAGAAGAAAGGAAAGGAAAGTAAAGGAAGGTGTTCCAGCTACAACACAAGCGTTCAAGGACACACCAAGAGAAGAAGAGAAGGGTTCCCAGCTATGACGAAAGCATCCAGGGACACCCAAAAAAGAAGGAAGAGGGAGAAAGGAAAAAGAAAAAGAGAGAAAGAGAAAAAGAGAGAGAGAGAGAGGGAGAGAGAGAGAGAGAGGGAAAGGAGAAAAGAAAAGGAAAGGGACGAACACAGGTGTTCCCAGCTACGCGCAAGCATCCAGGGACACAGTAAGGAGAGGGGTATACCTGAGTGTTCCATTCAGGAATACTCCAAAAAGGCAAAGAGAGAAGAAGGGGAGGGTACGGGGAGGAAAGGAACTAAGGTCCCGACAGACTCCAACGAGTCTTGAACAAGCTTCGGCCGCTGCGGCCACGTACGCCGTGCCAAAAATGGCTGGCAGCTTTGACCGCTACGGTCACGTAAAGGCATAAGCCAGCTTAGAATTCAATACTTCAGCAAGTCTTGGCAAATAACTTTGGCACAAGCCTACTCCGCCCGCTCTGGGCACGTACATCTCCGGGCAGGGGAGATAAAGACAAACGCCCGTTCGACGGGTCCACAGGGGCCAGCATTGGGTCTGGTCATAGATACGGCTTCACACACAGTATCATCACGGAGGTTTGGTGTGAAGGGGTATGGCCTGGAACAATCCAAAGGTGGACACTACGTCATTCCCATCAACGATTTTGGAGACACGACGACGAAATCGATTTCGAGTGATTTTGTGATGCAAGAGCACACAGAGATTGTGGTGATGTCCGATCCGCGGGGCTCAGAACAGACTGGTTTGGACAGTAACGGTGGACACATTCCATGCACGACCGATATGCGAAGCACACCATGGATGCCCGCTATCGCCACTTCAAGCAGAACGGCAAACTTGCTTTGAACCACTGCTTCTCTTTCCATTGTGGTACAACTCGGTTGATCCAAGTAGTCCCCGCCACACTCTTCGGGATCACCCTGGACTCTCACTAGGAGAGACACACTTATAGAAGTGCGTACTGATGTGAATACGGTGCCACACGCCTAAAGTTAAAAACCTGAGTAAACCAATGCAAAAAAGTTGGAGGTCATCGCTCAAAGGTTGGAGGCCGTCGAGAGCAGGTTGAGGGGCCATCGCTAGTAGGTTAGGTGCACAAGCTGAAAGCGACACCAAGCAACAAGGTTGGAGGTCATCGCTGGTAGGTTGGAGGCCAGAGTACCAGGTTGGAGGCCAGCGCTACAAGTTGAGTCAAGCTTAGGGGTCAGTTCTAGTGCGTTGGAGGCCATCGCACCAGGTATGAGGCCAGCGCTGCCGCTACAGGTTCACAAGACACAAACACAAACTTAAAACCACGCAGTGGGGCGTCCCCAACTGCATCTGCAGCACCTACTGGCACCCTCTTCGTTGGACGGGAAATGCCAGTGGTGTCCCGTCCCCCTGCTCAACAATCCTACAGGATCCCTGTGATTCCAAGGGGCACACACACACACCAACCTGTGTTTCCAGTCGTTGTTGGGCGTCCACCTGTTTGAAAGGGTGATGCAAGCAAGCTGCAACAGATTTTGCAATGGGGAAGTGGAAGACCACATGCCATGATGCGCGTGCCATCTGTACGCTGCAAACCAACCATTCGCTGAGGCTTCTCATAGTAGACAGGCAAACCTCCACATTTCAATACATGATCGACTATCTTTGTAGTATCCCCACCCTGTTACTGAGTTTTCGAGGGGGGACCTCAAAAATGTAACTTACATTTTTTTGGGGGGACCCTAAATGTAACAACCCCCCCTCCCAGGCAAGATTTCAGGATCTCTGGGGGGGGAGGGTGCCTATAAAATGTAACTATGGACCTCCCAGGGCCTATGTTACATTTTTGCACCCCCTGTCGCCTGGTTATTTTTTTTGGGGGGGTGGAAGAAATGTAACAAGATACCTCCAAGGTAGTCTCACAGGTGTATATATAGTTACATTTGTTCTCCCCCGCTTTTAGCTTCGTGGAGCTTGCATGTGTATGTAGAGCATTTGGTTCCACGATGGCACATGCCATTTATTATGGACAAACAGTAAGTTACATTTATTATGGTCCTTTTGTGATTGTTTTTTCCTTTTTGGGCTTGGGAGGTGTGAGACAGGGGTGGCCAAGCATTTTTTGCAGTGTGGTTGGCCAATGACTGAGAGATGCTGGAAGAAGGATGCTGGAAGCAAACCCTCCAGTGGCACACAGGCCAGGGAACCATCTGTGGCTGGCAGGGAGAACGCTGGGCAGTGGAAAATGTAACTAAGTGTGCCCCAGGCAACACACAAGCAGGTGGGCGCTTACGAAAAGCGCAGAGGGAAAAACTGCTACAGCATGCTGCAGTTTATGACCTTCAAGATGTAAGTTACAGTTGCAGGCAGACTGCCTGGAAATTGTAACTTACATTTTTTGCAGATTGTTACATTTTCTGCCTGTGGATGCCTGGAAATTGTAACTTACATTTTCCAGGGGCTTCTGAGAAAGTGTAACTTACATTTTCCAGGCACCCTCGAACAGGAACATGTAAGTTACATTTTTTCAGGTCCCCCCCTGCATAATGGGTAGGGATTGTGTAGTGTTTATTTTCAGGACGAAAGTGAGGAGGTCAATGATGAGGCGATCGGCAAAGGCAAAAGACTACATGATCTTTGCTTGAGACATTCTCGGAGTGCAGGAGAGCAGTGAATGAGCCCAGCGAAGCACAGCGGGAATGTTCACTCAGAAAAAGAATCAGTATTCGTTTGACGCCATCAGCTGCAACAGAAACTTGGTTTATTTGCGCGTGCACAGCCCTACAAAGAACACCTGCATTTTGTTTTGCTTTCTTGCGCGTTTCAAGCTCAATGTTCCAAGCTCACAATATCTCTTCAAAGCCATGTCCTCTCCATCGTCGCGCTTAGCCACCTGGCAAGAAGAAACTGAATTGACACATGTCAAAGAGATTGAAAGCTCCTGGTCGAAGGCATTCGACAGTCATCGCTTTGGGTCAGGCACTGACCGAACATTGTAACCTTCCGATGCTTTGGTTTGGCTGTAGCCTTGCTGTCACTGCTAATTACATGCATAGCTGGCATAGTGATATTTTGTGGCAATGATGCAATTTTTTTCTGCGCATTGGCGACATTTCTTGACCCCTAAACATTCACAATCTCATGTAACTCATGCGCCAGGCAGGATTGGAGATGAGGTGGGACGACGTCAAGAAGAATGGGAAAGGGAAATCGAGACCCTGGACCAGAAGGAGATGCAACAGTTGCAGTGTGGCTGAAGTCACTTTGCTGTCACTTTGTTGACATGTTCTCCTCGGTTTCTTGTACTTGTGCCCCACATCCCGTGGTATAAGTCAGAACGGTTGCGTAAGGGCCTCAATGGCCTTTGGTATCAACAATGCTTGATGCTTAACTGAAAAACAGATGGAGCGGTTCAAGTTCAAGCATATAGTCGAGGGCTGCGAAATCATGCAGAAGGAGGTCGGGCACCACTATTTTTGAAACCTATTTACGTGCTCGTTTTAGTTATAGGTTTTGGGGTCAGATTTCCAGGCGCTCAATGTAGCGTAAAGTGTGCGCTGGCTCGGCTACCTCAACTATTTAAAGCACACTTACGGTCACTTACGTTAATCGCCAACACAGCTTCATTGTGGACCAATTCAATGTTAGTTGCCGAACTCTCAGATGTATCAAGACATCGCAGCAAACACACAACGCCCCACAATGGTTTTACTTACATACTGTCAGCCAAAGGTACCCTGCCAAAAACAACAAATTGAACTGAGTTGGAATACAGCAAGAGAACATCACACCAAAAAGAGACGATAGAGTGAAAGGTTCCAAGACCCATGCAGCTGGGAAATCAATACCGGCATCCTACTGTAGCAAGTTATGTGTCCTACCCACTTTGGAGTTGACAGCTAGTGCCAGAAACACTGTTGCACAATATCCTTTCCTGCGGAAACAGTATCAGTATGAGTTGCCTTGGGAAAAAATGGCAAAAATACACAAAGCATTCCTCACATTGGAGAATTCCAGAGATGATACTGTACAATAACATCAAAGGGACCCGGCACTGGGAAATCACTACCAAAGCCGGACCCCCAAACTCTCTGTTTTTGCCCACTTCCTTGACTAACAACCACCGAAAAGCAACAGGTGCAACAGGCCCAACTCCTGTGGAAAGAGTAGAAGCGGGCATCAGAAAGCAAAAGCAAGCATTGGGCGCAAGAACTAAAGGGTACCCATTGGCTGCAAGCCTGGTCGAAGTAATCAAATAGAAAGCCACAGCTTCAAGGGCACCGGCCTTGCTACACCAAGCCAGGAGACAACACTTTGAAAAGGAAGACAAAAGAACACCAGAGAGATTGGCAGAACCACACCCAAGAGATTCAACAAAGCCTAGGATATTTGCTGGACCAGAGCAAGAAAAAGGTTTATGAATTGTGTCGTGTAGCAATTTGAGAAGCGAGTGGCAGGAGATGGAATTGCATCAGTCGCAGCTGCGTTTGATCAGGGAACAAACGGCGATCTTTATCCGAGACCTTGGCCTTCTGCAGGGAGAGGCCAGTTTGCAGTGTTTCCTTTTTGGGGGGGCGTTCGTTTGTTTGTTTGTTTGTTTGTTTGTCTGATTGATTGATTGATTGATTGATTGTTTGTTTGTTTGTTTGTTTGTTTGTGTGTTTGTGTGTATGTGTAGCGCGTGCGCATCTTTGATTCATGGGTTGCCTTTAGACCTTTTACAGCAGGGGTCTCGTGGGCGCATAGATGGCATGAGCTAACGAAGACCCATCTATGTCGTCGTGGACACGTACCTGCGCTGATCGCTCCTGGGTCTGTGGGTGAGGCTGGAGGATCTCAAGCTTTTGGTGTTTGTTTGTCATCGGTGTGCAACGGCTTGCGCTCGGCAGTCCAAGTTGAAATTCACAAGGCTCTAGCATCCAAGGTTCACGGACCTATAATTGCAGAATTGTCTGAGGCCTTTTGGTGCTGGTGAACTTGGAACACGAACACCTCTGCGATTCACATGTTATACAACATTGTTTCTTCAGACCTCTTCCAGGCAATTGGCGGCCTTCGTGCGTACTCAATCTCAAGCGTGTCTCTCATATATGAGCATCCGACAAAATCTGACGAAGACTAAAGTAGTCACGGCGTGGCCTTGACAGATTGGAAACCTGCATCAAACCCGTGTCACTGATGGGAGCCGACCTGTCTGATGTACCAATTAAATTCTTCTTGAGGAAGCACGCTGCCACTCTACATCTGTAGCTGGCGCAAACACTCGGTATGTTGCTCTTCTAAGTTTGAGTTGCTTACGCCACTGGACCTGTTTTGCAGCTGAATAACACAAGTCTGCTGCTGCTGCTGCTGCGCAACTGGACTATGTAGTTGGCCTGCCGCCCGTAGACGGCCGTAGCATTTCGAAGGTTTTTTTGCAAACTCCGCATGGTATTTACAACACTTTCTGTGTGTCCATGTCGTGTGTCCACAGGGCCAGGAAGAGCGTCGCATTTGTCATAAGCATTTTCTGTGGTTTTTTCCCAAACAGTGTGGACACACTTAGGGGTTCTTACGGTAGGTGAAAAGCAGCTGATGCTTAGATCGCTGAAGCGCGCGGGCGTGTGCGGCTAATTCGCTGCTATTTACAGCGCATTCATGCCTCTCGACATCGTCAATGTGCATTTCGACTGCGCAGGCTCGCTGAATCTGGGTGTCTGCGGCGGGTGCTTCTAACGACTGCGCTCTCATTGTGTGGTGCCGCGCGCATTTTCGCATATGGTGATCACTTTTCGTGGCAGGCGCAAGGGAAACCTCGTGCTCTGGTGCTCCAAAGTCGACTTTTCGTGACAGGTGCAAGGGATCGGAGGTGTTTGACTTCGAAATGCAGTTATTCGTGGCAGGTGCAGCACTTTGGACATGGTGGTGATCGTCGAGGAGGTCAGATTTCGTGACAGGTGCAGTGAATCGTGACTTTTGGACATGTGGCTCGTTTGCAGATTTCGTGGCAGGCACAGCGCTCTGTGACCCTCGATGTGCAGATTTCGTGGCAGGCGCAGCGCCTCTGTGAACCTCGAAGTGCAGATTTCGTGGTATAGGCGCAGCGCTTGGTGAACCTGGGAGTGCAGATTTCGTGGCAGGTGCAGCGCTTGGTGAACCTCGAAGTGGAGACTTCGTGGCAGGCACAGCACTTGCTGAACCTCAAAGTGCAGATTTCGTGGCAGGCGCAGCGCTTGGTGAACCTCGAAGTGCAGATTTCATGGCAGGCGCAGCGCTTTGTGCAGATTTCGGAGCAGGCGCAGCACTTTGTGAACCTCGAAGTGCAGATTTCGTGGTATAGGCGCAGCGCTTGGTGAACCTTGGAGTGCAGATTTCGTGGCAGGTGCAGCACTTGGTGAACCTCGAAGTGCAGATTTCGTAGCGGGCACAGCACTTGGTGAACCTCGAAGTGCAGATTTTGTGGCAGGCACAGCGCTTTGTGAACCTCGAAATGCAGATTTCGTGGCAATTGTGCTCTCAGATATTCACTTTCACTCTCACTCACACTCACTCTCACTCTCACTCACTCTCACTCTCACTCTCACTCTCACTCTCACTCTCACTCTCACGCTCACTCTCTCATTCTCTCACTCTCTCACTCTCTCACTCTCACACTCACACTCCCTCACACTCACACGATCCCCACCTTCATCACCACCATCACCTCTCTGGACCCCAATGCGTCTAGATCTCTACACTTTCTGCTCATGGACCTCGCGCACACTGTTTGGGGTCTTGCCGGGATAATTATGGCTTCGAACAATTATGTAAAAAATGCATGGTACTTAAGGTATGTGCTTTTTGTTTGTCAACGATCGCAACATTGTCATCATTGCCATTGGTTTCACAACGTTGCGTGGTCTTCTTCTCGTATGTTGTCCGTCTTTTGGGGACACGACGTGCTGATCGGCCCCTTGCTTTTATTGTGCAATACTTTTCATACTTCTGGCCTACCACTTCTACGCTATGCTGTGGTGGGATGGGTTGGGATTTTATCGTTCACCTCTAAGAGCTTAAACCCATTGCGCACTACTTTGGGTAGTTCTGGCCTAACACTTTTACGCTACGCTGTCTACTTGGGCGGGGTGCGATTGGTTTGGATGCGCACACAGCGCTACAGCGCTAATCGCTTTGTGAAACATTGCAGTCAAAAGGCGTGGCTCAAACCGACCTGTTGCACGGCGCGCAAAAGCTTTGGCACTGCAGTGCGTATATCACCCAAACGACGCCGACCGATACTCACTTTGAACATGTTTGTGTCCATGCAAGAGCAACTTCCCCACAGCTTGCGCAACTGCCGTGCCTGTTGGCGCGCCGAACTTGATGCCGCCAACAAAGCTTGCTGAGGGTAACCCTACAAACCTGCGTGATGGGGGATGACCCGTTCTACGCAATGGATAACCAATTTTCAACTTCGTCCGGCGCTCTTTTGCGCTCGTATGAGAGCCGGGACCCGCACAGTGCCCCAGTGGACGCAATTGCCAATCACGACGATAACCATAGCAGCCTGGAGCCAGCAGAAAAAAATTTAAACCAGCGTATAGCCGATTGAGTTGCCCCACAAACACTAAACCTTGAAGAATCCGCATGAATGCAGAGCGTAACGAACACTAACAGCTAGTCGTGGAGATAGTGGTCCGAGTCTGCTTGCGGACTCGTGGAAGTCCAATTCTTTCCTTCTTCCACCCTGTTTGTGTAGGTGTCTCTTGGGTCTGCGGTCGACCTGGCGCAGGGAGGTGACGTTTTGTTGTTTTCCTTCTCTCTTCTTTGTTCGCAGGTTTGTTTGTTCGCGCGCGGTAGCTTGCTTGCCTGCCCAGGTTTCTCTGGTTTTTTCTTCCCCTTCCTTCCTTCGTCTCCCGCCTTTCTTCCTTTCCTCAGCCTGCGCTATCCAAAGTTTCAATATTTAGTAGTTCCTCACGGTGTTCTATAATTGCTCGCCATCGCCTGAATCGCCTTCCTCAACTTACTAATGACAAACAGGGACCACAAGCTTGAGATCATCCAGCTGTCCGGGGCACCTATACCATAAGCAAGCCGGCTGACTGAGCCTTGTGAAAATGGAAAGTTCTTAAACCTTTGAAGCCTTTTGGCGTTTGTGAACGTGGAATTCCTCGATTTTTGAAAGCCACCGCAATTTTTTTGTTATACTGTTATACTTGATTGTCCGTGGTTTTCTTCAGGTGCTGTTTCCTTAGGCCTCCTCTACTAGTAGGCATTTAGCGGCCTTCGTACCAACTCAAAGTGCGTGTAAGCCGCTAGTAATATGTTGAGATACTAGGCTTTGGGACGCAGAAGAGCCTGAGCCTCAATGATTTGATTTTTAAATTGTTAAACTATATAATTGACCGTCATCAATAACATGCATAAATGCAGGGTTTTGTTTCATTTCTACTTTTTAGTATGTCTTTGTTGTGGTGCCATTTGCTGTCATTTGGGAAAACGCACGACGTAGACGTTTCTGGAATGTGATGCGTGATTGTATGATATGCTGTCACCATCATTTTTTGCGCAAACTAAAACGGGTTTCACAGAGCCAAACTAACTATTCACGCATGAGCGCGATGGGGTCCGCCCAAAACTGACGAAACAAGATAGCGATGTTGCCTATATCATTTAACCGGCGGTCTTTTTGATCAAGGTTGCTGTCGCTCTCCCCTGATTCTTGTTGAGTTCGACTGCTAGCCGCTCGATTTGCGGACAGGTTTCAGCCTTGAAAGAGAACGTGGGCATTGGGCTGTCTTCTAACATCATGCCGTTGCAGAATGATGTCAAAGAACAGAAGGCGCGCGCGTTTGGAATCCTTTGCCAAATCAAACCAATCCAAATCATATCGAATCATACTGCTGACGAGGCCTGTGCTTGTTATGTTCAATGCTGGGCCTAGGCCAAACTACTGTCCCAGGAACAAATCATCACAACGACGCAGAAACGTTTTGGCCTCAGAGAGGGGCAAGCCTGATGGGGAATGGCCTTAAGCCGAAAGTTGCAGGAGTGGAATACCTGGAGCGATTGCTGGGCGAATCAGTGGAGCGCCACTCGCAGGAGATTGAGTCAGCCGGGAGCCTCACACCTTTGTCAGTCTGGCAAGGAGACAGCAGCAGGAGGAGGAGGAATGGTATAGTAATAGTACCCTGATCTTCCAAAAGTCTCTATTTTAATTTAAAGGGTTTTCTATCAACCTTATTTAAGGACTATAGTCTTTAATTAATTTAAGGGGTTTTCATTTGAAAGAGTCCACATGAGTGCTTGCAATGACCTGAAATGCAGTGAGCTTCTGTGCGTGCCCACTCAGTCGCTGCCGCCTGGATATAGCACCTTTTTTTTTGAGGCAGCCATGAGCGGCGGCCGCGCGCGCAACACAGCAAGAGCAGCGGAGCTATGCAGGCTGATGCGCCTGCATGTGGGCCACTTGGACGAGGAGAAATACAGGGCGAGCAACTATGAAGATGTGGTGACAGAATACGAAGAACTCATGTTGGACATCCTTGCTTTGACAGAGCGACCCAACCGTTCAGCCTTGGAAGCTGCTGCCAAGCTAGCATTCACTGGAGTGCAGGCTTCTGAGAAGGCCATGTTTGCCCAGCAGTTGCACAAGGCATCATTCAAAGAGTGCAGGACGAAGGCCAAATCTGTGACGTCAGGGGCAAAGACCGCAGCTTCTGTTCTCCGTGTGGTGAAGCGATTGCGCGACCTGAGCAGATCCTCTGCGACACCGTTGCCGGTGGCGTCAGGAACTGCCGCGTCCTCAAGCGCAGGCGCTAGGCCAGACACAACCAGCTCGGACAATGCGGGCATTCTCCAACAGGATGTGTTTGCTGCCATGGGTGTGTCACCGCCAAAGAAAGTCAGGCGCTTGGCTCCACGCCCCTCCGAGGCTTTGACAGTGGCGAGCTCAGCGCCGGATTTGAAAGAGGGGGCGACTGTGGCGCATTTCTTTGAGTGGGAGAAGCGTGTGGCAGTGCGCATGCATCCGGGTGGGCGTCGGGAGGAAGCTAAGATGAGCGCTGGGAGCAATGGGTTCCTAGTGGCAACTTGGCGAGACGGCGCCCAAGAAGAAACTGAATGCCCTACTTTGTTGGAGGATTTGGCAACCCGCAAAAGAGACCCGCGCAGAAGCGACCCGCAGCCGCGCCTGCTGCTGCAGCCCTGGCATCTGAGGGGGAGGCCAATTCGGAGGAAAGCTTGTCGCCTCTGCCAGATTTGTACAATGAAAAGACAGGCAAAACCATGCTAGGGACGGAGCGACAGAAGCTCCGGCCCAAAGGCTGTGGAACCTGCAGAAATCGCAGGGGCTGCACTCCGTCGTGTTGGCGGAAGCGGGGCCTTCTTTGATTGCACAGCTGCGAACCAAAAGCAAAATTTGTTTTGGGGGAGATTTGTGTTTGGTTTGGTCTTGTTGTTTGGTCTTGTCTCTTTCCCCGATTGTCGACCCCTCTGTATCTCGTCCTGTTCATGTCGCTTCCCCGCGCACAGCACAACATACGCGCGTGCGCACACGGTTCAGCAGTGCACCAGGGCAGTCACGGCATCCTTAGCTTCGTAGGGAGGTCAGGAGGCCTAGATGTATAGAGAGGCGCAAGGTCTGAAGTGAGTGAGTCGACTTGCAGCAGCTCAAAGTGTGCGATGCATGCATGCCGGGTTCAAAGGAAGCAGCGGACTTTGGACAGCTCCCCCTGGACTCTCGACCGACTTGACAGTTCTTGCAGCTATGGGTGGCCTGCTCCTTTGCCTTCTGGGTCAGGAGCAAGCCACCAAAACCAAAAACAATATATGTTTGAACTCATGTGTTTTGCGCATGATTTTGGGCCTTTGCTCTTGGGAGTCAGGCCTGAATGAATGCATGTTTGTCTGTTTCGCACACCTGACCCTGTGCAGGACAGAGCGATGAGACCTTCGAGGACATTCGGCCTGCTGCTGCTGACGCCAAGTGGGAAGTCGTTCCACGCACGCAGAACCCGTTGAACCTTGAGCTGGACGCGTCCCCGGATTTGAGCACCACATGCCTCATGTGGCGCCGCGCGTTGGCTGTTTTCCGCCACATCCAAGAGTGGCGCCTGAGCTCCTAGAGCCTGCACTGGAACATGTTTGGGTCTGTGGGTATAACCCCTCAAATGAATGAAGATATATATATATATAACCACCTGTTCAGTGCAAGGGTTTGTTTTTTAAGGGTTGGTATATATGTTTGGATCCCAGACCCTACTCACCAGAGGCACCTATAAGTATAGTGGGCCAGGAGATGCCCTGAATCCATACCGGTCACAGCGACCAATCCTGTAGCCAGGAAAAATATGCCAGCTGAGTGGCTTTGGATTTGGCAATGTTTCCTTTGTTAAACAAACAGATAGGAGTTCAACGGTTGTGGCTTTGGAAGCAAACTCGAGTTGTGAGTTTTGGAGCAGTTGTGCGCGCAACACCAACACACACACACACGCACACCCACCAAAATTTTCAAATTTGATTTTTTTTCAAAAGTCTACCTTTTAATTTAATATTAAAAGGAACATTTTTGAAAATTTTTCAAATTTGAAAATTTTTGCTGCGCAGGCTTTCTGCTCAATGTCTGTTTCCCAGACTTTGGAGTAGATGTTTGTTCATTGGACTGGTGGGGCTAGACCTTGGCGTCCTTTGCTCTTTGTGAGTCAGGACCTGAGGACATAACATATTGCACATCTTGTCCTTCCGGTTTGTTTCTCCTTCCTGTCCCCTTTCTTGTTCTTCTCTTGCTGGGTCGATGTGTTTGTCTGTCTTTTGCCGGTTTTTGGGAGCACCGTACAGGATGGCAAGTGCGATGCGCTCTCTCTTTTTTTTTGAGACAGAGAGAGAGAGAGAGAGATGAGCTGCAGCTCTTGCTTGGCGCTGCTCTCAGCTTTTCCACCCCTGAGTAGCTCCCTGTCTGTGAGGCCACTTGTCTTGAGTACCACTTGTCCTTGCCATGGCTGGTGCGAGCAAGGCTGCTGCGCCCAAGAAGCCTGCTGCTGGTAAGGCTGCTGCGCCCAAAAAGCCTGCTGCTGGCAAAGCTGCTGCTAAAGCCAAGGCCAAGGCAGAGCCTGCTGCTGGGGCTAAATTCAAAAGGGGCAAGTCGACTGAGGCCTTGGAGGTAGAAACCGTCTCCAGTGCTGCAGAGAAGGTGCAGCTTCAGCAGCGTGTCTTGAACCTCATGAAGTACAGGGCCAACCACTCCAAGGATGCAGAGAAGAAGTCACAGGCTCAGCAGTTTTTGGACATGTACTGGAGCAAGACAGCGGCTGAAAAGGAGGGCCTGCTCAAAGAGTTCGAAGCTGCTGGCGGCAAGAACAATACCCAGTGGCTCATGAGTGTGGAGAACCAACACACGGATGCTACGGAGTCCCGTGACAAGCTGCGCGAAGGTTTTTTACAAGGACTCTTTTGAAACAAAACTCCCACAGCGGTCCCCACCCCCAAGGAACATTTTTTGTTTGCTGCCCTGCCAGGAACCAGATTTTGGAGATGAACGCCTTCCAGCCGGACTCGATGACCTTTGAGCGCAAGGATTCTCTGGTGCAGCACCTAATTGCTGAGTCGGTCGAGAAGTTTGCCTTCAAAGCCGAGAAGAAAGAGCACCCTGAGGAGAAAGAGTTGGATAAGTTCATGTATGTCTTCTACGGTGGCAACTTTGTGGACCACTTAAAGCGAAAGAGTTGGCCACTTTCATGAAAGAGTTGGCCACTGGCTGTTGGCCTCAGACCAGATCAGACGGAAAGCCATTTGACGACACCGATGCCTGGAGGAAGAAGGCTTTGGGCTCTGCCATGCCTTTGCCCCGTGGGGTGCTGCTGGAAATCAAAGGTGATTGGTCAGCCCTCAAGTCTGTCTTTCGCTTCCCTGGCTGGCGCGACAAAACTGGCTGCTGCTATCGATGTGATATGACGCCAGACCGCATTCGCGAAGTGGCCTCCAACTCCGACTGGCGACAGCCCAGCCACCGCCTCTGCCATGCTGATCTCTTGGTCAGGATGGTGGCTGATGGGAAATCGATTTCTCCAGCCTTCAACATTCCATTTGTCACCACCGAAACCTTCCAAATGGATTGGCTCCACACCACTGACTTGGGCATCTCCCTGGAATTCTTAGGGGGCATCTTGGCTTGGGCCTGCGATTACCTCGAGGGCAACCAAGCGCAAAAGTGCAGCGCTCTACACTTGCGTATGAAGGCCTACTACAAGAGAACCTGCAAGACTTCTTGCTTGCTGGAGCTCAAGCCCACAATGATCTGGAAGCAGCCTGGCGCCTATGCCCGCTTGCGGGCGAAAGCCGGTGAAGCTAGGGACCTCATTGATTTCGCGGTCGAGGTCACAAACGAGCTCTTCGACCACACACAGCCTGCGGCCGCCACTGCAGCAGCAGCCGCCCTGCAGTTGCAGGTCTGCTACCAGCAGCTGAGCAAAGAGGCCTTTCACAGAGAACTTCTAGAACAGGCTGCCCTGCGCTTCGCCCTTCTCTATGTCGCGCTGGGTGATTACTCCGCGGCTCATGGCTGGAAGACTTTTCCGGCCAAGCCAAAGCTGCACGCCTTTCTCGAACTTGTCCAGACTAGCACTCCGCCGTCTGCCTTCTGGACATACACTGAGGAGTCATGGGGCGGTAGGATTGCACTCTTGGCCGAGCCCAGAGGTGGGGGAAGCACTGCAAAAGCAGTGGGGCTCTCTGTGTTTGAGCACAGCACGATGTGCCGGAGCTCTGAAGTGGACTCTAACATGGAAAATATGTCGTTTCTCTTGCCAGTCAACATCCCTTAAATAAGGGCTTTTGGAACATCCCTTAAATAAGGACTATGGTCTCTAATTTAAAGCTTAAAGCTTTAAATAGAGGAGGTACCTTCTCTATTTTAAGGGGTTTAACCTCTAATTAGAGTCTATAGACCTTATTTAGAGGTTTTTCATTGAAAAAATAAAGACTATAGTCTTTAAATAAGGGTGGAACCTCTAAATAGAGACTTTTGGAAGATCAGGGTAATAGTAGTATAGTCGTCGTCCTCCTCCTCCTCCTCGTCGTCGTCGTCATCGTCGTCGTCGTCGTCGTCCTAGTAGTAGTATGTATAGTGGCAGTAGTAGTAGTAGTAGTAGTAGTAGTAGTAGTAGT